CTCGTCAGAGCCGCCACCGCCGTCCTCGTCTCCGCTGGGGGTCGCATGGAGGTCGTGGAGGGGAGAGGGAGGGAGGGAGGGGCGGCAGCGTCTCACCGCGCGGCACGCGAGGCGTCCATCTCGGGGCATATGAGGCGGAAAGAAAGAGGAGAGGCAGAGGAACCTAGCCCTCGAGGTGGCCGAGAGCGAGAGTTGCACGACGCGAGGCCCGGAAGGCGAGGAGGAAGTGCGCGGCGGCGGCGCGGGGGAGAGCGGATGAGCGGAGCAAGCGAGTGGGGGATGGGGATGGCGGGTCTGTGCGGGTGGGAAACGGGGATGAGCGAGCGAGCCCAAAGAAGAGCGGCCAATCAAATTGTACGGGTCCGTCCGGATGGGACGGATGCCCGCACGGTATTATTATCGTTATGAAAAAGAAACGTTGACACAACATTCTCATGCTTCTCCAACAAAAAGAAGAAAAATAAAATTTGCCAAGGACGACACGGCCGACCAGCACAATGGGGAAAAGAATTAAATTCCCTGGGCAGACCACCAGCTCCAGACCACAGCTCCCTGATGGCCCACTAGCTTCCATGCGGCCTCACGCACTGTTCGTTTGCTCGTATACGATCGTGGATTATAATCTGAAATAATATTTTTCTCTCACACCAAACCAGCCAGCCGTAAATAATTCACGATCGTATTGGCCTCTACGTGCGCCGGCAGCCGGCAGCCGCGGTCAACTTGCGGCTGCGCCTCTTGTGCTCGTCCCCGTCCCCGCGTCGAATGGTTGGTTCACGGGGAACCAGATCCTCTGCAGTCAGGCTGGTCGACTTTCCTCTGCAGTCGGCTGATCTGCGCCGTCAGCTGTGATCCAACGACAAGGAGCTCCCACTAGTCTTCCATAGGCACAACACACGGCCCATCAAAGCCCAAGATGGATTTGCCTTCGTCTTCCTCGGTTGGAGCCGGTCTCTGGCGTCGCGCGATACCCGCCGCTAAAAAAGGCTGGATAACGTCTTCCACAGGCTCATTAAGATAACAAGCTAGCATTATCCTAACGAGCCGAAAGCCAACAAAGCCCAAGCTCATGGCCTACACAAAATATAATATTTGCATTTATCTAAAGTTTGTGAATAATAATAATACAACAAATGCAATGCATCTAGACCAGATCCTAGACGGTTATGAAGTAATACAAAAACTAATACAAGTTTTAATATTTTTTTCCGGCTCTACGCGTCGCGATGCCCCGCCGCCAAAGGTGGCGAGCGAGCTGGTTCGAGTTTTCGTCGACTTGCCGCCAAAGGTGGCTGCGACACGGGGCTGCGACGAATCACACAGGAGGCATCCGGCGCTCGGAGCGAGAGAGTGGCCGGCACGGGGTTGCGACGAATCTCACGGGCGGCGTCACGACTGCACGTGCGGATGCTACTTAGAGCGGTGCCCCTCTTCTTCGTGATTGTGGCTCCGAGCCGAACACGTACGGCTTGAGCAACGGCAGCGGCAAGAGCTCGCCGTCGCTACGAAACAAGATGCGGCGACGGCGGTGGCTGTGTGCCTTGCCGGAGGCGGTGCCGCAAAGCGCGCCAACGACCGTGCAATCGAGCATGTAGTCCTCTACTATATTTGCTCGGAGATCAAGGAGTTGGTACTCGTAGAAATGAAGCTGGATGCGCTCCGCTTGTGCAGGATGCCAGCAACGACCATGCAATCGAGCAGGTACTTCTCTATTGGATTAGCTCCGGGAGCAACCAAATGGGACCGGAAGAAATAAACCGGCGCTCGACGGCCCAGGGCCGCGGCCACCTGGACGTGCTGATCTGGAGGGCAAGGGGCCGACCAGCTACAGGCGCTCGACGGAGCAGGTCCGCAGGCGCCTGCATGCGCCGAGCTGGAGGGCCGCGCGGCCATCGGCGCTTGATGGAGCAGGGCCACGGCCGCCGCGGTGGAGTACTGTGGCAGCGAGTCTCTGGCCACGACGGCGAGCTCGGCCTTGCAGCCTTGCAGGAGAGACAGAGAGGATAGAGGAGTGGCAGCACCAAAAGAGCAGATCGACCCTGCAGCACCAAAAGAGTAGATCGCGGCAATGGCGACGGCAAAGGCTGCGAGCGGCGGCGCGGGGAAGGACCCGACTCGCATATGGCAATCTCGTGTACCTCCGGTGTTGTGGGCTTAGATGGGCCACCGTAACCTACCCGTATGGCCTGTTAGATGAGTTTTGCGAGCTTCACCGTTTGATGCTAACGGACGACGCGTATATGATGACTGGAGAGAAGAGTTGATGTGCAATACTGCAGAGGATCTCGTTCCGGTTCGCGGTCGGAGTAACCGAAGGAGGGCAGAGGCCTCGTTGACTGTGTAGTTCGCCTGTCGCCTCGCCTCGCCTCCCCGTCCGCTCCGCTCCCGTGCTTTCTCCTTTGCTCGCTCGCGGACCCCCGATCCCGACTCCGACTCCCAGCGGCGCAGTCGCGCCTCGAATCCGCACGCCGCCGCCGCCGCCGCCCCACGGCGCCCAGGTAACCGTCTAACCCTCTCGGTTCCTCGAAATACTTCCCGGATCCCTTCCACCGCGCGGACTTCGTCAGGAAACCGTCCGTTTGATTCTGGAAGCTATGATTCGCGCCCTCTTCCTAGACGAGTAGATCTGGATTAGCCTGCGAGAGGATGACGACTCCATTAGTTCGGCTGCTACCGATGTTATTAGTCGCACGGGGAAACGGAGGCGTAGCCCTGCGTTTTCTCATGCCGCGGCACCCCTAATCGTGGAAGTCAAACAGTGAAGACGATTACCCAGCGCTGCTCGTGCAGAGCTTAGCTGTAGCTTTTTTTGAACAGAATTAGCTTCACTATCTATTTGCTTGATATTGCTGGCTGCTGTAGAACACTATATTTAGGGGCTTAGGGCGTTACTGTCATGCAAATGGCAGTGTTTCCTGAACTGGCTAGCTTGCTTGTATGACACCTACAGCACTTGCCATTTCTGTATGCCCATGCTTTATCCGTGAGGTGTATTACTTTTTGGTTGTGGGTGTTGATTGTGCTTGTTGGTCAGTGTATTACTGTTTTTTGCGGGTAGTGATTGTGCTTGTTGGTCAATTGTATCAGGATCGGGGTGTTTCTGGTGTGCAGGGGTGGGCGGTTGGCTTCTCAGAACATGTAACAAGTGTTGATATGAAAATAGGTCCTGGAATATTGGGTTCATTAGCAGTTTGGCACAACCTTGAAGCTGCAGAGGATTTCAAATGCCCTTTGTCATCAGCTCTCCACCTCCATTGAGTCAGAGGTATGCTGCTGTGCTGGTTTTCTTTGACATCGATTTCATCATGCTTTTAGTTTCGAAATTTCTGCAGTATCTGTAAAATGTGGTTTTTGAATGCTTGATTTAGGGTCTGTATCCCTAATTCTGGTAGGATGAGTTATAGGCACTTATTTGTTGCCTCATTTTCTTCTAGCTTTCTTCAATCTGGTGAGCCTTGTGTATGAGAAAAAGAAACATTTTCTTCTAGCTTGATTTAGATGTCATGATTTTTTCTGGGTATCAATTCATTGCTACTGGTGGTGTTAGGACTTAGGAGTAGGATCCCTTTTGTAGATAAATGTAGGCACTTCAAGTGTATCGATACGCCTTATAAAAAAAAAGTGTATTGATATTTTTTTCTTCTTATTTTTCTGTCCTATGGCCTGTGGTAGATGGGGGCAGATGTGTCCTGTTAATATTTATATCTGCAGTAATGCTCTTAAGTGAAAGCATCCTTCTTGTCCTGCCATGTTCACTAATCTATGGAGTGTTTTTGTTTAGACTTTAGAGTATCTATGAGACTATGACGCATTCTGCCCCTATGTGATCCTGAAAGTTTCTATAGGATGCTTATCTTATATTCCTGAATTTTCAGCTCTACTTGAATGAAAAGGTAAATAGAAGAAAATGTCATTGTTCTGACTTGCAAAAAATGTATTTGTTTGACATATTAGCTATTCGAAGCCCTAGAAAAACATATTAGTAGTTCAAATTGTATAATCAAACTATCAAAGGGTTTCGTATCTGAAACCCTTTGATAGTTGCTAATGGTCTTGGGTATAAACCTGGGGGATTGACTTGAAGCTTGTGTAATTTCGTTGCTACCAGTACTGAAATTCGGCTCGTCCCTTGTGGAAAAATTCAAAGGGTTTCGTATCCGAAGGTTATATCAACTATTTATTTTAGTAACTTCCAGCATTATTATTTATCCTTTCCTTTGATATGTAGTTATGTACCTTCTGTGTTTGTTATCCCTTCTGGGTAATTCTATCAACTAACTATTCCATTGTCATATCTGGCTGAATTTCCAGCATTTTTTATTGTATTTCCAACTTCCCCAAGGATGTTTGACAGCACTCAAAAAGCTCACTACATGGATGGGCACAGAGAAAAGTTTATTAGGTTGGTTTATTTATCTTAAGGACACTTCTACAATGTTTTTGCATCTATTCCTATTCTCGCTGGGAGTATAACATGTTTCATGTAGTATTGCCCATTTCCCCATATATATTGGAAATCCTATTTCTGAAAGATAATATTTCTGTACATCCATGGCTGCAGCAGTATTCCTAAGTTCTTCTTCCGATAGTTTACCATTTGCCCTGTTCACCATTTGCCCTGTTCAGCTTCAGCAAGTTCAAATTGTTTCCTATTATTGTTTTGTGGTACCCTAGAAATCTGTTTTTTATCCTAGTACTCTTTCATTGTTCAAATAGGTCTTTGCCGCTTTACAAGCTAATAATTTTTGTCAGACTTGTGAGAGTTGCCTCATGTTGAGTGTTCAAGAGTGATAAAGTAGTAAATGTTTTTGTCAAATGTCTTATAGACCTGAAACCTCTTGCACCGCATAGAATTTCCATGTTCTTTTGTGTTGAACTGTTGGAGTTTTTTTTTAAAAAAAAATTAGTTGTATCACCATATTTTCTGTAGGCTGGAAGAGTCAAGTCCTAGGTCGTCTGTACCTTCTGAAGTGGGAGGCAGGAGTACCTTGAGGTCCAGCATGCCTGGGTTTGGATATGGTTCATTTAATGCACTAAGGTCTTTCTTGTCAGGGGTCCGCAAAGGCTCTGGAAGACTGAAGTCACTTGGACAGTCACTTGCTTCTGGTGCTCCTAAGAGAGCTTTTGCGGAAGATCTTAAATCATATAAGAGAACTATATTTGATCCCCAGGACAAAATTCTTTTTCGAATGAACTGGGTATTCTTCTCGTCTTGTCTTTTTGCTGTTGCAGTGGATCCACTATTCTTCTTTCTACCCATCATCAACGATTCAAACTGCATTGGTATAGATAAAAAGTTGGCAGTGACATCAACAATAGTACGGACGGTTATTGATTTTGTCTACCTTATACGTGTGTGTCTTCAATTCCGCACTGCTTATGTTGCCCCGTCTTCACGAGTGTTTGGGACTGGCGAGCTTGTGATTGATCCAATGCTAATTGCAAAGCGATACATTAAAAGTTACTTTGCAATGGACTTTGTTGCATTGCTACCACTTCCACAGGTACATCTGCTTTCTCATGGTGTCAGATAATGTAATAATTGCTGCACTAGTTTTTTTTTTGACATTTTTTAGTGTGTCAGCATTTCTAATATCTAGTTCGTTTGGTTACCTTAGTACTTAGAAGTGGATGTTGGCAGTAATTGCAGATGTTCAGCAACCAAAGCTCTATCCTATTGTCCAGAATCAGTACAAGTCAGTTTCATTCGCAGAGAAGCTGTGCTTTATAAACTTTCCAACCTGCATTTTCTTAGCTAGGAGGGTTTCTGATGATGCTTTTGAGGTTCAAGTTCTGTTCTCTTTAGTTAGGAGGGTTTCTGATAATGCTTCGAGGTTCAAGTTTTGTTAAAATAAGTTTTGTTCTCCATCTGATAGCCAGGAGCCCAGGATAACAATACGCTATAATATGCATTGACATCAGTAAAGAATTTCATTGTAGTCAACACTATTCCTTTGTTCTCCAAAATCCGAATTCCCAGAATCCAATCGTTCATGTGGATGGCTTGTATGTTGAGATAGACTTGTAGTGGAGATTAACTTTATTAGAGATATAGATATAGACATAGATATGCGTTTAGTCAATATCTGAAACATAAATTATTGCTTTTTCACTACCTTGCGTCCATGTGCAGCGTTACTTGATCAAGCCTTGATACTGTTACATGCATGCATAAGACCATCCCAATTGCTAGCTTTATGATCTTTCTGCTCACATTCGGAAACTTCCTTGGTTCTAATAATTTCCCAGCTTACCTTAAACTATCTGTTGGTGGTTAACAGATTGTTGTTTGGAGATATCTCAACATTCCAGATGGCCCAGATGTACTGACTACAAAAACTGCACTGGTTTGGGTTGTTTTGATTCAGTACATTCCAAGGTTGTTTCGAATATTCCCTGTGACCACAGATTTGAAAAGGACAGCTGGTGTTTTTATTGAAGCTGCTTGGGCTGGTGCTGCTTATTATCTTCTATGGTTTATGCTGGCTGGGCATGTAAGTGCTTCCATAGGCTCTGTACTATCAATTATATTTTCCACATTCCTTACTCATCAGAAGCAGGCAGCAGTAATGAGGTCGATCTTTGACTACAATATCAGTGATATTGTTAGAGGAGTCAAGGGCCTATTGGGCCTTAGCCCATTAGAGTTAATTAGTCGCTTGCTTAGGGGCCAAGTCAGACCTCTCTATATAATGAGAGGAGATGTATCAATCTAATCAAGCAAGAGATTAGAAGGAAATCCCTTCTCTCTTGCCGGCCGTGGGCGGGCCCCCATGCCGGCCCCCCCAGCCACTTCTTTGCAGCCCTAGCCGCCGCCGCCGCGAACAGTACCCGCGGACACTGTAGCTCCACGGTACTGTAGCACGCCCTCATCTCCATCCCAACTGGCCACATAACATCTTGTATCAAAGACCATGGCTGGATCCTACGCCGCCGTGTCCTTCCCACCACCACCATCTACCTCCACCGCGCCGCTCCAATCTGCGGCCTCCGAGGTCTCGGAAGGCTCGACGATGTCTGTGCTGCCGCTTTACTCACGCTTTCGAGTCCTTGGCGGCTGCGATCATCGACATCAACCGCAACATCGCGCGTCCATGCAGCGGCTTTGGCGGGACTCGCCCGGCAGCCCTCCCCCGCCGTTCTCGGCCGCCGCCCCCACGGGCGGCCGGATCCCTACGCCGCCGTGCGCCCATCTCCACGCCGCCGCGGCACACACACCCTTGGGCTACGCCGCCCTATCCTCCGCAGCTCCGCCCGTGTTCACCACCGCCCGCCAACAGCCATCAGGGCGCCTTTGCTCACACGAAGCACCGCACCTTCCACAGCGCCTTCGATGAGTGGATGGCGACCTGCGTCCATAACATTGGCGCCTGGCGGCGTCGGTGCCCTCATCCGCGGGCGCGCGCATCGGCGGGCCTCGTCCTCGGCGTGCGTGCGTGCCTCCATTCACAGTGCACACACCGGCGATCGATCGCCATCGCGGCAAAGAATCAGGTGCAAGTGGCGCTTATGCGCAGAAGAGTGATTGTTAGTCTGCGGCGGCATGCGATTACGGGGCACGACCTCGCCCGTCGAACGACCAACAACAACCGCGCCGACCCGTTCTTTGTCTCCGGCGCGAGCATGGTGCTGTTTTCCAGCGGCGCGCGCTCCAGATTCTATGGGAGTGATGATAGAAGAAGCGCACTCCTCTTTGTCACCGGCGAGACGATCGCCTAGCGCCGCCAGCGTTTATTACCGCCGGCCGCCACGAGGTCGCTCTCCGCTGGTCGCCGCTATGCGTTTGATTCCAAACAACCGTACCGCAACAACCCTCTCGTTTCGATGGTCTCCATGGGATCCAGGCGGCTACACGAGCCTGTCCAGCACGCGGAGGGTGTCCGCCGCATCTTCAGGAGTCAAGAATAAAGAGTTGAGTTTATTTGAAATAAGTCGAGATGTAAAAGGCTTGTTCTTAGGTGTTCAGTTTGTGTCTAGTGAAGCCTAGTTAGCATCATTGTTAGGTCGCAGCTCGAGGACGAGCTGCATGTCCAGGTGGGGTGTAGTGTTAGAGGAGTCAAGGGCCTATTGGGCCTTAGCCCATTAGAGTTAATTAGTCGCTTGCTTAGGGGCCAAGTCAGACCTCTCTATATAATGAGAGGAGATGTATCAATCTAATCAAGCAAGAGATTAGAAGGAAATCCCTTCTCTCTTGCCGGCCGTGGGCGAAGCCCCGCGGCCGGCCTCCCCAGCGCCCTTGCAGCCCTAGCCGCCGCCGCCGTGAACAGTACCCGCGGACACTGTAGCTCCACGGTACTGTAGCACGCCCTCATCTCCATCCCAACTGGCCACATAACAGATATCTACCTGAGATTGTCCTATGTTCTAAATAACTGATGACTTTAAAACTTTTTGTTAAAAAATTGTGGTACATATTCCAGTTGAAACTTTGAAACTTTGAATCCTTCAGCCATTATGTTAGTTCTTAGATGTAAATGAGATCTTGTGTGTATATTTTAAACATCATCATCTTTGTTTAATTGATTTTCAAGGAGTTTCCTTGGTTGACCTATGTAAAAGAAATACTCGCTGTCAGCACTATACATCAAGTTTGTTCCCCGTAGGTTTCTATCAGCAATCATGTTTCCCATGGCTTATGCTGCACCTTTTATACATGTTATCTGTGGCACAAGAAAACTCATTAGTTTGCATTCGTTCATTGAAACAGCCTCTTGCAATTTTCTGTTGGTGTTTACATATCCCCCATGACTTATGCTGTAGTTTCTATATGTATTATTTGCTGCAGAATGTCGGTACTTTATGGTACTTTTTAACCATAGAACGTGAAGATGATTGCTGGCATCTGTACTGTGATCCCAACGTTGGATGTAATAGCAGCTACTTGTATTGCAATAATAATCATCATGGCAGCTATGATAGTTGGCTTAAGACTAATGGTGCCCAAGTATTCAACATGTGCAATGGTAGTCAAGATAATTTCAACTTTGGCATTTATGAGCAAGCACTGGTCTCCAGAATACTTGGTCCAGGAAATTTCATCTCAAAGTTATGTTATTGCTTCTGGTGGGGATTGCAAAATCTAAGGTACTTCATTGCTGTTGTTTATGATATTTTTCATGACGCAGAATTTAAATGTGTTTGGATAATCCTGAAGCTGAACAATGTCCATAAAATGAGCACGGCTTGCTAGAAATACAAGTTTGCTTTTCATCTGGCCTTAATAGGATATTAAAATCAATTTGTCACCTTTTCTAAAGAAAAAAAGTAATCTATGCAGCTAATGCAGCTTTTTTTTTTGTACACAATGGTCAATTGAGATACAACTGTAGTAAATATGTGGGAAGTAATTGGGAATCTTAAGGCCCTATGAAGGAGGTTATGGTGTTCATAATACACTGTATTTCACGTGCATTGTAATAGATGGAGGTGCACATATAAATCCAATAATCAATATAGATCAATTTTGTATCTTCAAGGTGCATGAAAAGGTGATTTGGTTCTATTTAGCATGTGCTCTAGGATTGGTAACTTTGAGTAAAATCTGTTTTTGTAGTTAAAATCTCTCCAATATATATCTCTATTTTTTTAGCATTATGTTTTTTGAGCTAAAATTATTAATAAAGCTGCAAAGTACTGCAATGATGTGGTAACTTACAGCATTAGGCTGCCCTTTCTTTTAATAGGCTAACCCTCTGCAGGGTTCCACAAAAACTAAATCCTTAGCCCTAAACCCTCTACAGGGTTCCATGTTTTCAAGACTAATAGCGGGCGAGCTATAGTAACAGCTGGAAAGTGGTGGTTGCATTTTGTCTATGTCTAACAGAATGTATCATCAATGCTTACCAATCCGGGATAGAATCAGAAGCTGATCGGTTTGCAGCTTCCCTTCTTAGGTTCAGGACATCACATTTAGGTTATGTGAATTGGGTTCCTGTACTTGGCTGTTGAAATATGCCTTCTAGCTGTTGTAGGTTCACAAGATTGGCTGTCATCATTATATGTTCTACTTCAGAGCACATTATGCCTGCTATCTTAATTTCCATTCCCATTTGACAGTACACTTGGTCAAGGGCTTTTGACAAGCACATACACTCTAGAAGTGATATTCTCTATAGCAATATGTGTCCTTGGACTAATTCTTTTTGCTCTCCTCATTGGTAACATGCAGGTAGAGTGATATATTGTTTCCCTTTTATTCTTTTATAAGCCTTTCTTTCTTTGCTTGATTCCGAGTTGAATTTCTACAGAGCTACCTACAATCTGTTGCTATACGCCTTGAAGAGATGAGAGTTAAGAAACGTGATGCTGAGCAGTGGATGCATCACCGTTCACTGCCACCGGAAATCAGACATCGGGTGAGGAAGTATGAACGTTATCGGTGGTTGGAAACCAGGGGAGTAGATGAAGAAAGTTTGGTTCAAACTCTTCCGAAAGATCTTAGGAGGGATATCAAGCGTCATCTTTGTTTGGGCTTAGTGAAAAGGGTCTGTTATGGCTGCTCAAGCTATTGTTTTCTGCTTTGTTCAGTCATTTCCAGTTATTTAATATTCTCATTTTGTTTTTGCTACTGATAGGTGCCTTTGTTTGAAAATATGGATGAACGATTATTGGATGCAATATGTGAGCGGTTAAGACCTGCACTTTACACAGAAAATGAATTCATTTTGAGAGAAGGTGATCCAGTGGATGAGATGCATTTTATTCTTCATGGTTGTTTGGAGAGTGTAACCACTGATGGTGGACGGAGTGGATTCTTTAACAAGGTCCAGCTAAAGGAAGGATCATTCTGTGGTGATGAATTGCTCACTTGGGCATTGGATCCCAAATCAGCTGCTAATTTTCCAGTTTCGAGCAGGACTGTCAAGGCACTCACCGAGGTTGAGGCGTTTGCCCTATGTGCAGAAGAGCTGAAATTCGTGGCCAGTCAGTTCAGGAGGCTGCACAGCAGGCAAGTACAGCACACATTCCGATTCTATTCCCAGCAATGGAGGACCTGGGCAGCCTGCTTCATCCAAGTGGCATGGCGCCGCTATTACAAGAGGAAGATGGCAGAGCAGCGGCGTAAAGAAGAAGAGGCGGCAAGCCGGCCAAGTAGTAGCCACCCTAGCCTTGGGGCGACTATCTACGCATCTCGTTTCGCGGCCAACGCCATGCGAGGGGTTCACAGGCTAAGAAGCAAGGCTGTCCCTACCATTGTCAGGCTACCGAAACCCCCAGAACCAGATTTTGGTGTCGACGATGCTGACTAACGAAACATTCACACTGAACTCGCTTGTAAAGGTTTATCCTGCTTGACGTCTATGGAAATGTAAATGTATTAAATTTTTGCTGATTATATGAGTCCAAAGTTTGCCAGCCGGAACCGTATCGTCTGTGTGTTCAGTTATCTTTTGTTTCCTTCTGCGAAACCCTAGAGACAAATTGGGACATGAGAAAGCTAAACTATGAAATTTTGAAAATAAAAATCCTAGAGATGGATTGGGACATGAGAAACCTAAATAAAATATTTATAAATCATGAGGATATATTTATAAGCTTCTAGAAATTAGATTTATCTCTAGAAAAACTTGGAAATTTTTCAAAACATTCTGATGAATGTCTAAACATATTTAAAAAATCACAATAAAAATCTAAGAGGCCACCATGAATGCAACATACATTAATGCTAAATGAATTCATGCTGCTTGTATCTCATTTTTTTATTGTGAAGTTTTTAAAACGTGCTTCGACGCTTATTAGGATATTTTGGGAGTTTTCAGAACTTTTTGGATTTTTCCCCATTTTCTAGAGTCAAATCTAAAGCTTCTAAATATATTTTCATGAACTTTTTACTGTTTGGGTTTAATATTTTTCTCAGAATTTTTGTAAGCTTATAGAGTTTTTCCGTGGTTTAAAAACCTTATCAATTGTTTACTGGATTTTTAATAAAAAAAATGATGAAACCACTTCGAAAATCACTTCTAACAAGGATATTCAGCTAATTTAAATGGTTGAGTGTTGAAGGAGGCAGTTTGTCCGGTCTTAGAGGTAGAGGAAAAAATCTACACTTAGAGTCTGATTGGTTTGCGACCAAAATTTACCATGCTAAAGATTTGGCTAAGCCAAAGTTAAGTAAAAAAGTTATTACGGATTTGATAAACCAAACGTGAGAGATTGACAAGTTTTAATAGCCAACCAAATAATAGCCAAAATCATGACTTATCAAATCTTTGATTTAACAAATTTTAGAAGCCAACCAAGCTCTTACCGGTTTTAGACCTAGACTACTATAGGAAGTTAAAAATGTTTTTTTTTTCAATAGGTCTATCACCAGCAGCCGGTTTGGGAGGGGCGGGCCAAGTGCCACTGCGCTAGGATAAAAAAAAAAAAAAAAAAGTGCCACTGCGCCATCTGCCCATCTCTAGTCGCGGCACTGTAGGACCCTCGGCTATTCGGCTGCCTCCGGCTCTGCTTTGTGAGATGCTCTTCCTCGTCCGGCGGCACCGCCGCCTCGCTCTCCCCTTCTCCACTCTGCACGCACCCGCGCCCGCGCGCGCCTCCACCCCCACCCCGCCCTCCTCTCTCGACGCCTCGGCGGTGCTCGAGACGCTGTCCCTCTACGCCAACGACTGGCGCCGGGCGCTCGACTTCTTCCACTGGTCCGCCTCCCCCGGCGGCGCCAACCTGCCCCCGACCGCTGCCACGCTCGCCCGCGCCGTCGACATCCTCGGCAAGCACTTCGAGTTCCCGGGGACCCCGCCTCCCTCCTCTCCCACCACGATCCCGGGGACCCCGCCTTCCTCCGCCCCGCCGCCGCCAACCTCGTCGATGACGCCCTCCGCGCGTTCGACTCCACCGCCGCCTCCATCGGCCTCCGCGACGAGGCCTCCTTCCACCTCCTCGTCGACGCGCTCTGCGACCACCGCCGCGTCAACGAGGCCGAACACCTATGCTTCGGCAAGGACCCGCCGCCGTTCCCGCCGGGCACGAAGACCCACAACCTGCTCCTCCGTGGGTGGGCTAAGACCCGCGCCTGGGTGCGTCTGCGGCAGCTGTGGTTCGACATGGACCGCTGCGGCGTTGCAAAGGACCTCCATTCCTACTCGATATACATGGATGCCCTTGCTAAGTCAGGCAAACCGTGGAAGGCCTTCAAGATTTTCAAGGAGATGAAGCAGAAAGGCGTTCGAATCGATACCGTTGCTTACAACACTGCGATCCATGCGGTTGGGCTCGCACAGGGCGTCGACTCTGCTGTAAGGTTGTACAGACAGATGGTTGATGCTGGTTGCAAGCCGAATACTGCCACTTACAATGCGATTGTCAAGTTATTCTGCAAGGAGGGTAGGCTCAAGGAAGGGTATGCGTTTGTTCAGCAGATGCTCAAAACTGGCTGCAAGCCCGACGTGCTCACATACCATTGCTTTTTCCAGTATTTGAGCCGTCCACAGGAGGTCCTCGGACTGTTTGAGAAAATGCTTGAGAGGGGTTGTCAGCCAAGGATGGACACATATGTCATGCTTATTAAGAGGTTTGGGCGTTGGGGGTTCCTTCGGCCAGTGTTCATTGTGTGGAAGGCAATGGAAGAGCAGGGTCTTAGCCCGGATGCATTTGCATACAATGCACTTAATGATGCATTACTGCAAAAGGGTATGGTGGATTTGGCTAGGAAGTATGATGAGGAAATGCTTGCGAAGGGACTCTCACCTAAACCAAGGAAAGAGCTAGGGACTAAGTTACTAGAAGCAGAGTCTGAAAGTGATAACGCATTAAACGGTGTGCTTTGATTTCTGAGAGCTAGACAGGGATGGACATTATCATGTTCTACTACCCATTGTTATCATTGAAACAATGATTTGAATATGCTGATGTTCCCAAAATATAGGCTGCTTTTTATTGAAGGAGATCTAATATGAATTCATGGATGTTGTATGGAATTGGAGGCAGACTGAACCATATTGCATTGCTGTCAATTATCATTAGGTTATTATCTGACAAATCTGTAGAAGAGCTGGGCCTCCAGAGATTTATGTGTTCCTGTAATCATAGGTGGACATGGTCGCATGTGTAGGAAAAAGAATTATGATATGCTCATGGGCCTCCACCAAGTTGACATAAGAAGTGGATGAGAGGACCAAGAAGAACCAGCAATGAAGCAAAGTGACAAAGCCCATTTAGTTTGTAAAAACTATGGTCCCTAGTCAGGCAGGTTCAGCTTGCTAGCCTCATGGTAAAACCTGGAGCAGGATTGCAGGAATACTGCAGGTATTTATTCAGCCAAGTCAGCATATCAGACCCAATTTTTATCTCATTTATTACTGAGTTAAATTTGGATGAAAGTTGAAACGCGGAACTTCAGATGAAATGCAGAAATTCATGTGGTTGCTCTGAAGTCTTCACAGCAGACAAACTGCTTGCCAGGGGATGGATGGCAATCATGGCATGCAAACTCAACTTTATTATGAACTGCTTGTTCGTAACAGATTTGGTATGCAGTGGCAAACTGGCAAACTTGATTATGAACTGCTTGTTCGTACCATGCAGACCCATGTGGAGAAAATTCAGAATAAATATATGTTTGGATGTTTGAAAGAAACTGGCGGATTTCTGAGCACCTTGGAGGACCTTGGCAGTTGGCATGCCACGTACTGTATTGTCAAAAATCCTGTAGGAAGTCTGCATCGCTAGCTTTGCTTACTGTTGTCAAGCTTTTCAGTAGTGTCTCTTTTCTTCTTTGGTTCCAGTTTTCTTAGCTGATGCATTAACCATGCCACCTTTGTAATTTGACTCCGTTTAGAGAATCGGCAGATAACCTGCCAGTTTCCACTAAACAAAATAGTTGAGGAAGGATCTGTGAACAATGTGGAGTTTTCATGCACTTGGGAGGAAGATTTATGTTGGAAATTTCTAAAACGTTAGATGTATTGACTAGGAGTTTGATGCTAACAAGTGAGATGGAATGAATAGTAGTAGTTGCTCCTAGCATTATCAGTCAGTCATTGTATCGTTGCTTCCTAAGAATCCAAGGAAGGATATAAAGGACATCAATACATCATTAATGCAATTATCTTTTGAAGTGTAGGAAAATGCAACATCTTTCTGGCACCTGATATTAGCGACAAATAGCTTTCTCCAAACTGCTATCATACATTGCCTTTCTCTTAGATCAAGCTACTACCAAACTCAAAAAGAAGAAGAAGAAGATCAAGCTACTACCATGTATGGCGTGCTCAACGTGTTCGACAGAATGGCTCAGGCATCGCGCCAACTCTCTTTCTTTGCTTCCTTTTAACATCATCTGGGACATGCAGAAAAACAGGTTCCTATATGTTCTTTATTTTTTTGGTCTCTATATAGCACTGTACTGTACTGATGTACGAATAACTGAATCCAGGCAATCATGCATGAAATTGTTGTCAAATCGTTCAAATGTAAATGCATGGACCCTATGTAGTACGATCATATTGAATCTGTATGTCACATGCATATATAATCTTGAATTCTTGATGGCAACCAGACGATCGACCATGTGTCTCCACTCTCCAGGCGTACATTTGTAGGTCCATGCATTCCGCTGTGCTGCTTAATGCTTGTATCAACTTATCCACCAAACTGTCGACAGCCTCACCAGAACGGCAGCGTGCTGTTCCTGCTGCCTTGTCCGGCCACGGGCACGTAGGCACGGCCTGCTCCCGGTACGCTACGGGGCGCTCATCTCATGGCCCCCATGTCTGCAGGCGCACGTACCGGCAGCTACCACACTACTGTCTCCCTACCTGGCCCAACGACGACTTGCCTGAGATCGAGACGGGGCATGCACGTCCGTGTACCGTGTACGCACGCAGGTGATCGAGCTAGCTGCTGCCTTGCAGGTCGCGTATCGCCGATGAACCGTACCGTCGCACCTGTGGCCTGTGGGGGGAAAATCCGTCTGGCCGTCGGCCGCGCGGGGCCGGGGCCCGGCCGGCGTGGCTGGAGCCGTCCGTATCGGGCGGGACCGGAGCATGCGTCGTCGAACGGGAGAGCAACGCAGTAATGGCGCCGTGCCGACGGTCTGGGACTTGTCGACGACACGCGCGGCCCCGCGGGTCCGCGACCACGGCGCGTGCGTGCGTGCGCTCACGCAGCGACGGGCGCCTCCGCTCCGATCCGCTGATGGCGCTCGCGGCCGTGCGTTAACGACGTTGTCCCCGGACAGGGCGGCGTGCGCGCGGGGCGACAGCACCACGGCCGCGCCCAATGGGCGGTGGGCCATGGCCAACGACCCGTCGGTAAGGGCGGTAGTACAGCGAGTCGGCGTCAGCGCGCGGCGCCGTGGAAAACGAACGCGCCTGCTGGGTCTCAGGTCTCACTGTTGCGTGCGCCGCCGGGCACGCTCCACGCACGGAAAGGTCGTCGACCGGCCGGCCGGCTCGCCACCTGAGATGTGTGTTCACACGAGCCCTCGTTGTCATATCAGAATCCGGATCTGCGTAAACTGTGATCTAGGCGTGTCTATCTCGTTGCACGACATGAAAGGATCGATGATAGATGCTGGAGCTCGATCGTTCTCCGTGGTGGTTACACGCTTACGGTGACTAATTTGCACGCATGTTGGACCGTCGGATCTCATGCCATGCATACACGAATCGGATCCTCCGGCGCATGGCCATATAGTAATTCAGGCAGGCAATGGCGTGCGACGCCGTCGACGCCTGGACGGAGCAAGCCGCCAGCCGGGGCGCCGCGGTCGAAAGCGGCGTAGTATCATGCCGCCGTACGGCTCGCTAGGTAACCGCCATCAAGACCCATATGGCCACTTGCATGCCTGGCTGCGCGCCACGACGACGACGGTGATCGATCTGATCTCCATGACCTCGCACCTATCGATCCATCGGGATCATCAGGGCGTCGATCGCCGTGGTGGCTTCCTAGTTGCGTCACATCGTGTTCGTGACAGTAGCAGCTTGTGGCTCCCTATGCCTGCGACACTGCAGTGGCAGCAGGCAAGGTCCGGCCGGTCACGGATCTATCGATCGATGAACTGCCTCGGTTGATCTGATGGACATTGCGAGTGATGGAAGATGACGACGTGTTTGTACGTGCGTACCGGCGGCCTGCCGGACACAACAGCTGGGCTCCTCGAGTCGACGGGCTAACCGCTGCTAGTGCCTGCAGCCCACGGCGGCCGCTCTGCTAGCTTGTTACTCCCTCCTGAAGAATGCAATCACGTCTTGCGTACCAGCAAAAGTAGTTCACGCTTTACAAATTTTTTAGAAAGTACTATTCATATTTACGGCTCTAAAATAATTTATTATAAAAATATATTTTATAATTAATCTAATAATATTTATTTAATATCATAAATATTGATACTTTTTTATCTATAATTGATCGAACTTAAGATACAAAACCATGACCCTGTGCTAGAATTACATTCTTTTGTGGACGGAGGAAGTAACTCCGTCAAAAAATGAAAAACAAGTCAAACGTTCTTGAGTTTGAACAATTTAAAAAAAATAATACTTATATATCTAAATAATTTACTTTTTTAGAGTCTAAATAATTTACTATGAAATATATTTAATAATTAATTAATATTAATAATTCTTTGCATAAATTTGGTTAAACTTAAATTGTCCGATTCCTTGAAAAGTGAGAATTGCTTTTTTTTTTGGAACATATGGAGTACATTAATTGTTGGCCTATACCATGGTGGCAAGTTTTGTTCACGGACGACGGTTCTTGTCGACAAAGCTTTTGGATTTTCAGCGTAATTATGCATTTTATTATGAGGATATACAACATTTCCAATAAATCAAATCCCTACAGATTAAAATCCACTGAAATTATTAAATTTTGTAAAGGAACAAGTACATGGTTGCACAGAATATACTCCTTTAACAAATAATAACCACTATAACTCGTTTTTTTTTAAATGCAGTGGCGTTAGGCCTCTTATGGTGTATGAATTTCTTTTGAAATCTTATTTTGTTATTTGGTGGCAATTGATTTATGTGTTGGAAAAACATGGAATATTAGATGACTCAGTGTGGAACTTCCAAAGGAATGGTTCTATGTTTTTCTTAAGTCAAACTATCTTAAGTTTTACTAAATATATACTCCATTCATTCCATTTTATCTGACGCAAGTTAGAATGACACGGTCTCCTAGATTACACTTGGACAATTCATTTGCTTTATATTATTTATACTTATAAACTTATAATCATTGGATAGTATAATTCCTTACAAATCTAATCATATAAAGTTTGTATTATACTAGTTAAAAATTATTAGCCTAATTATTGGTCAAAGTTTTTAAAGTTTGAGTCTTGCGCCAGATAAAATGGAACGGAGGTAGTATAAAATTAGTATTAGCATCTACCACAAGAAACCTTAAATTATGAAATGTATACTCTCTTCATCTCAAAAAGAATTAATGTAATTCTAGATATGAATGTAGACAAGTATTTGTCTATACCTAGAATTTTGTTTTTTTAAGGAGGGAGTATATCAGCTAATATCATAAATATTACACTCTTTTCTATAAACTTAGTTAAATTTTGAAGAAAAGTTTGAGTTTGTACAAAATTATAATGTCCTATGAGAGTATTTCTTCTTCTTTTTTTTACCAAAAAGGGCGGTTCTTCTTTGATGTTGCTGATTTGGCGTTAGCAGAGTCCAAAGCCAGCGGATAATGCTCAGAGCCAGATACAGGCGACCGCGGGTGCAGGTGCAGTGCACTAGTGCAGCTACCCGTGTCAAACGTCTAATCGACGGCGCGCATAAAAAACCGCGGGCGCGCG